CCCCCCCCCCCTCCCCAATACCCCTTTTTCCTGCGTTAAGGCATGTAGCCCCATCAATGTGCAACTTATAGAAGCCCCTATCTAGTGGTTGCCACTTTAGGTATAAAGTGATTATGGTTATAACAGGTTTAGATGTGGCTGCAATATGGTGGTATTCAACAACCTTTGCAATTATTTGGTGCACATTAATGTAATTTCTTTTCTTTTCAAAGACATTAGAGTTCCTAGTGAGCGAGATGGCCCAGAGGCAGAAGGGCAGTAGTTGTTTCCATTTGATGCAAGCATTGTAATCAACATTTTGAAGCTTATGCCACGTGTCTTCCCAGTTTGGCATAGAAAAGGGATTGACACTAAGGTTAGGCTTATGGTTGCACATGTACAGCAGTTGCTGCGAGAACTCCTTGACATTAGCACATTCAAAGAAGATGTGGTTTATGTCTTCTATGGCAGAATCACAGAAGTAGCAGTTTGGATTAATTGTCAGACCTATGTGATATAAGTGGTTCCATGTAGGCAGCTTGTTTTGCTGCATGAGCCATATAAAGAACTTAATCTTATTGGGGGTCTTTAGTTTCTAAATCCAACTGTATTGCTCTTCATGAGAAGTGTCATTGTGCATGAGTGCATCAATGAAGGAGTAGACAGATTTGGTACTGAACAAGCCATTGGGGTTAAGGTTTCATATGAGTTTGCCCTCAACTGCGGTGGAGGTGGGGATAAAAGTGTTTTGGATTATGATGTTAATGTCATGAGGAATTGGGTAGGGAATGGAGGTAAAGTCCCAAGCCCCATTGGAGTACACTGCATTTATTCTGGTGTTCATGTCATTTTGGTGCCATGGACCATTAAGGATTTTATCTAATGGTTGCATTTTGGGAATTCATGTGTCAGTAAGTAATCTAACCATATCCTCTTTGTGAATCACCCATCTAGTGAAATTAGTGCATCTCTTCTAGCCCCTCTGAACATATTTTCATGTCCTAGTTTTAGCCTTAGTGCTATTACCTCCTCCACTGCAGTGCTTTCCCATAAGCACCCTAGCCCAGATGGAGGTAGTGTTATTGTAGAGTCTCCAAGCAAGGCTGGTATCACAAGTTTTGTTCTTTAGATGGGCATGTTGGAGGCCCGGCCCTGCCTTGTTCTTTGATTTGGTGACAGTGGCCCACTTGACCATATGGAGCTTCCTTTTTGCAAGAGTTATTCCCTAGATAAACTTTCTTTGAATTTTATCAATTTGATTGGTAATGTGGGAGGGCAACTTAATATATTGCATTACATGGTTGGGAATGCTACTAAGGAATGATTTGGCCAGAGTGGTGCGTCCAGCCATATTCAGGAACTTGATTTTCCAACCTGCCATTATACTGTTGAGATTATCCAGGATGAATTAGAAGTCACTATTTCTAGGTCTTCTATGGAAGATGGTGAAATCTAGGTATTTTCCAAAGTCTCTGGCACCCTTAATACCTAGTATAACATTGCAAGTTTTGGCCCACTCTTTCTGGTAGTTGGAAAAAAAGATCACTTTAGATTTCTGAAAGTTGACTTTCTGCCCAGATGCAGCATTGAAATTACCTATGATGGATAAGATTGTCTCACAGTTTCTCCTATTGGCTCTGGCAAACATAGTGAGATTATCAGCAAAGAATAGATGGGAGATTCTAAGCCCTCCTCTACTGATGCTATAGGTAGGAGCGAATCTACTAAGGAGGGTGGGGGCAGCACGCCACAAGCACACCTTGGTCGAAACCTTTTATATATATATATATATATATATATATATATATATATATATATAT